TGCCTGGTCTCTGGTTTGCTTCGGGAAGGGAGCCAAGAACCTGGCCTTTACATAATCTTATGCAATTGGGCTCATTGGCAGACAAAAGCTGGCTGTCTACCATCTCCAAACAGCCACACAAGTGGAGTTATGCAACTTTAAAAGTGGAAGATGTGTTATGTAATGTGTATTCTTCTTGCGGTTTTCTTTTTCCAATTAATGACGCTGCTTTTTGTTTTCTTGGCGTGGGAGCAGATGGCACCAGTCCACTCACTTAGATGTGGGGTACAGAAATATTTAACGATGGGGCTTGGCTGGTGGGGGAGGGGAGGCGCTGGCACGTCGTGTGTGTAATTTGATCGGCGGGCCTTGATGCTAGACGCCGCGCCGGTGCCACAGCTCTGCGTGGCAGGGAGGGCGGCACACGGCGGGGCGCCTCTGCACTCCCACACGGCCCGCTGGGCCGGGACTGGCGGCCCCCTGAGCTAGACGAGCCCGCGCGTGGCACCTCGGCTCTGGGGTGGAGGGCTGTGAGCCCCGGCGCTGACCGAGGGCGTGAAGCCCCGAGGGTCCTGGCTCCGCGCTCTCGGAGTGGGAAAATCCCCTTCTCCTCCCTTCCCCTCGGCCACGCAGCCCCTTCGGGCTTCGACTCTTCCGACAGGCGGCCGCACGGCTCGGAAAATGATTACTATATTAATGCGGATTTTTGTTTCGTCTGTCATTCTGACGGGCGTGTAAGTAGAGAAAAAAACGGCCTCGGAAAAGATTTAGGAAATTCCTGTGTTTTGCACCCCCCCCACCCCCCCTCCCCCAAACTTTGAACTTTGCAAAGGATTCTGGATTCTGTCAGTCTTGATATTAACGTGCCTTTCCATTTCCACAGATTAAGATCACTTTATTGGCCATGTACAATTTCTTGCCTTAGGAATTTCTCTTTTCGCAGACCCCAGCTTGCTCTCCGTGAGAGAGACAGACGGGGAGAGAAGCTGGCGGTCAGAGCGCAGGGGCAGCCGTCTATACGGTGTCCCTGGAGCAGTGGGGTTAAGGGCCTTGCTCGGGGGCCCAACGGAGTAGGGTTCCTCTGCCGGCCGCAGGATAAGAACCGGCAACCTTCCAGCCCCAGGATTCAAGGTGTTGGTGGTGTCTGGTGTTCCAGCTCTTTTACCTCTTTCTCTCTCTCTCAGCAGCAGCCGGAGTCAGAGACGGTACATTTGTTCATACCTGCGCTGGCAGTTGGAGCCATTATTGGTAAACAGGGGCAGCACATCAAGCAGCTGTCCCGCTTCGCAGGAGCGTCGATCAAGGTATGACGTGCTCTACCCCTCCAGCTGGGGCATGTCTCACCCTGCGAAGCTTGGTCTTTCCTCTGAGCCAGCCTGCAGATGTCTACCCTGTTAGATGTGCTTCTTCCCCCAGTGGTTTAACCAGTAACTTCTCCCGAGTTGCACTTCTCCTGTTCCATAAGGAGACCTTGTGTAGTCATGAGCGGCAGAAGGCAGGCAGGGTCTGCTTGTTAAATACATCTATGTGCTACTTCAGGTCATGATCATGGCAAACAAAACTGCACTTTTAAAAGCAAGAGATTATGGTAAATCATCCGAGCAGATTAGATGTGTGCAGTCTAGGAAATGTCCTATACATACACATTCACCTCTGGATGTTTCGTACCTCCTTAAGTTATGAAGTGTTTTATTGAACACATCCTCCACGTGCTGTGCTTTTTCTGCCATTACAGTTTAAAATCACAGTGATAGTTTGGAAATGGATTCTGAGCCTGCACATTCAGGAATCAAATGCATCTTTTGTCATGACGAGGAACAGAGTCCCTTCGTCAATTAAATTAATAGAGAGTCAGACGTGGTGATCGAAGCTGCCACGTTGACCAGTCTGAACCAACAGATTTTACAGACAATTCTCCTAAGAGAACAGACCAAAACGGCTTCCCCATGCTTGAAGGCTTTGTCAGGCTCATTTGTTTAGAACTCTTTCCAATATCATGGTGAATTATTCTCTATTGAAATAGCATCAGTACTGCACTTGGAACTGTTTGGGGACAGGTCATAAAGTGCACTTGGAAGATGCTGCCTTCTTTATTAAGATGGGTGTTTTACCTTAACAGAAGGGATAGTGGCACAGATTATCGTGAAAGGTAGCAGTGATGAGGTTCTGTAGGAGATGTTTTTCGGGTTGTAAATGTGAAGTGGAGAACCCGTTACCCTTACAGCTGTTCTGTGTGTCAGATCACCCCAGCAGAAGGGCCTGATGCCAAGCAGAGGATGGTGATCATCACAGGCCCACCAGAGGCCCAGTTCAAGGTGGGTGCTGCCTATAATCATGCACGGAAAGTCTCTATTCAATGCTGAAGTTGTGTAATGACATTTCAAGAGATTTTTTTGTAGATCAAGTCAATGATGTAATACTGATGCTTATGATCCCACTACTAACACCAATAACACAGCGTTAGACAGTTAAATGATGTTGCTTTTCCAGGGAGAAAACCAACAAATACTACTCTCACAAGAGTACAGCGGTGACTCATGGACTTATAAGTGTATTGTTCCAACACTGTTCCTTCCCAGGCTCAAGGAAGAATATTTGGGAAACTAAAAGAAGAGAACTTTTTTGGACCGAAGGAGGAAGTGAAGCTGGAAACCCATATTAAAGTGCCATCGTACGCTGCAGGCCGGGTCATTGGAAAGGGGGGTAAAACGGTAGGTGTTCAGCCCTGGTGAAACCCAGGTCTTTACCAGGCAATATGAATCAGGTTGGGGTACCTGGGTCTGCAAGACCGATGCTTTTAGTTCCTTTTGAAAGACCAGAGGTGTAGTTAGACCGGGCCAGAGCTGAAATGTTTAGTTTACGAAGACCACGCCTGTCTGGTTTTTGGGGAAACTCCCGAGGGTTGCAGGGTGCTGAGGAAGAGCTGTACGGCACTCGCGGCTGCAACAGCACTGAAGCATTTCTGCTTTGCTAAGAGAACCTCTCCCGCCTCGCAGGTGAACGAGCTGCAGAACCTCACCAGCGCGGAGGTGGTAGTTCCTCGAGACCAGACCCCCGATGAAAACGACCAAGTAATAGTGAAGATAACTGGCCATTTCTACTCAAGCCAGGTATTATTCTCGCTCCCTCTTTCTAGAGAAACGGTACCTTCTTTTGCACGTGCCAGGGCACTATAGCTGCACCCCGAGAGCTTTTCAGGCCTGATCTTGATGGGGATGCTCTTCAGACGGAGACTGCCGGTCTCGGGGTGGCTCCCTGCTCCTGCAAGTCCTGACTTTAGCTGCACTACAGAGACGTGGGCCAGAGGATATCGCCGGAAACGCTGGCTTTCCTTGCCAGTGAAACGGACTGTGTTGATCCTTTATTTGCTCTTGGTTCCGACAGGTTGCGCAGCGCAAAATTCAGGAAATTCTGTCCCAGGTAAAACGACAACAGCAGCAAAAGGCCGCACCCAGCGGCGCCCCCCCCCAGCTGAGGCGGAAGTAGGAGGCGCAGGGGCGCCCCCCCGGGCCCTTCGCCAAGACGCCAGACCAAAGAGGAAGGGGGACTGCTGGCGACGGGAAGCGTGGGGAGGTCCTGCCGGCGACAGTGCCAGCACGTCTTCGTGGGAATGTCTTCTTCAGGCTTCGGGGAACTTTGAGAGAGCCAGCTTAGATGACCGGAGACAAAAAGACAAAAAGACCCTTTCCCTCCTTTGGTTCTGTGCTCGCCACTTCACATCAGCAGGTTTTGTTTTTCCCTAAATCCCGATTTATGATGTCAAATTCCAGTTCGACGAGGCTTTCTCCCCCGGCCTCTCTGGGAAGCGAGAGGCAGGGCTCTCCTGGTTCCATCTGGTGTGCGGGAGGGGCGGGGCGGACTCGTGGTTTCGAAGGGGGGGGGCCTGGGGAGCAGGAAGGCATGTCGTCCCAGTGCTGATCGAGGCATTTTAGAAATTCGGATGCATTTTATGAGAAAAAGAAGAAAAAAACACTGCCAGAATAACCTAAGGGAAGTGTTGAATGGTGTTGGCTAGGAAATAGTTTAATATGCATTTTACTGAACTACCTCAGGCATTTAGTACCTCAGCAAAAATTATATATATAATTTTTTTCCTTTTTTGCTTTCTGGTATTTTGTATACTTTATAAAAGCTGATAGTTCTTGAGCATTTTATTTTTTTAAGAAAAATTAAAATTTGATCAGCTACCATCAGGGTGTCCTTCAGCTCCATTTTACAGATATATGTACATATATATATAGTGTATATAAAAGTTATATATGTACATATAAAAGATGCATTGGCAGAACGAAAAAGACAGAGCTGTGGTGCTCCTTGCTGTTAGCTGATGGGAGTATTAAATTAAAAAAATTGCCTCAGTTTTCCTGAGGTCTTCAGCGCCACCGTAAGGAATAACAGACATAGAGCAACGATTTTTGCAAGATGCCGAATAATGCCAACATTACTGAAATCAGCAATGCCCTTTATTTCTTGGGATGTTTGGGATTCAGAAATTCAATTGATGGTACATTATTTTGTTTCGGGGGGGTGGGGAGGGAGGGGGGCGCAGGGAGGTGATGAGAAGAGGCTGGAGGGGGGCTCGTTTGTCTCCGTTCACGGTGTTGCGCCCTCGGTGCCTTGGACCGTCGCCGCCTCCTCGTGGCCGAACGAGTTCATTCTGGGGAAACCCGTGCCAGGACGCCCGCGGCCTTCAGCTCGGCTGCTCGGCGACACGTCGCGGTCTGTCAGCAGGCGCGGCGCAGACCGGGTTAGGAGCAGCCTCGCATCACGCGCGTTTCATTTGCTTTTCTTTTTGTTGTTTGCATAATGGGGAAGAAAGATCACACTAACGATGTCGATGCTAAAGGATACGTTTACATATCCAACCGCTGTAAAGGGCCACTGTAAGCAGTACCTTCTGCGCTGGCTACTGCAGGGACAGCAGGGTTTATGCACGGGTGCAAACGGGAGGGTCTGGAACTTCTTTCTTGGAATCGAAACGCAAGGACTTAGGCAAAAGGCTCCATACTGGTTTTTGTTTCAATCGGTAATGTAAATGCAAAACGCGTTTTGTGGTAAAAGCTATTACGCATTCACGCTTCGACAGTAGAACATTTCTCGTCCTACCTCAACTCTCAAATTGTGGCCGTGCACGGGGTGCATAAAGACTGCTGTGTGGCCTTACAAGAGCCATGCTCATACCTCCTAAAAACCTTTGTGATGTTTTTGTGCATGAGGTCAGAAGCATCATGCTGCACTGATTTAAGGGGCACAACTTTGCATAGCTATTTTTTCTCACCGTTTTTGATCTACCTCTTAGTCATATATTAAAATAGAGGCATTTCTGCGTTAGGATAGAGTAATTTCCCAAAGATCATTTTGTAAAGATTTTACTTTTTGGAAAAAAAAATGGTCTGAAGTTTTTGTTTTGCTTGCATTTATTCTTTATCAGTTGATTTAAAACCTCAACGTATGCTGCAGCTTTAGTTTAGTCAAAAACATTTTTTGATCTGGCAGAGTGGCTTTCTCATGTAGTTTTAGACTTTCTTATTGAATTTGGGGGAAGAAAAGTCAATAGATGTTTAATTTAGATTTCTGTTAATGGCTAAGTCAAATGCCTACCTTTTTGTTTCTCAATATAAAATTTCAATTTTTGTTTTTGGAATACAGGTGCTGCATTTATATCTACTGAGTACTTTGATTTAAACCTGTTCTAGCTATTTCTAGGCTTTCTAGTGTGGATTTTTTTCTTCAAATGAGACTTAATTGGAATATTTGGAATTAGTTTGAAAGTAATACTGTAAGATGGGTGTTTATCAGAAAAGCATGGATCATATTTCATCTGTACTGTGCCCCTATGCAGCTCCACCTGTCAAATGCCTCTGAATAAAATAAAGAAATTAGCTCCTGTGATGGATGGACTGTGCTTTTATTTTTGTTCTTTAGGACTATGGATGAGACTCGGGACACCTGACAATCGGTAGTGTCTTTTGAACGATCTTTCCTTCACTAGTTCTTTACCTAACCAAGGATATGCATTTTAAGATTCACACATTACGCAGGGTTATGATGACCTTTAGATTTGACTGGAGTGTTACAAGTAGAAAAACATTTTCAGAAACAGTTTTAAATCTTTTGCTGAAATGATTCAGGAAATAATAGACCGAGCTCCTTTCGTCCTTGACATCTCTACAAAGGATGTTCAATATTGATTTAATAGCTACCATAAAAACTACCCTGAAATAATGAAGAATGCTTATTTTATCCATGCCCTTTCATCGTACATCATCTCAAGGTGCTTTATAATTAAACAAGTAGAACTGTGACAAATGCCATTCCAAACTGGAGCACACTCCCTGCATCAGAGTACAGTGTGCACTGTGGGAGTAAGTCTACACACCTTTTCCAAAGTGAACTCATTTTGTGTCCTAACAACCTGAAAGCAAGATGCTTTAATTCAGAATTTATTTTACCTTTATTTAAATACTGTAAATGTTTAAATACCAAGTGAAAACCAAATGCACAGACTTTATGAAATAGATCAGCCTATGGGCTCCACTGCATAATAAAATGTATTCTGGAATAAAGCCTTGTGATTTGGATGTTTGAATACCAACAGGATTCAGTTTGTGTTTCAGGTCTACAAATATGCAAAAAGGAGTTTTACACATGCATATAAAATATTTCCCCCTATTCATTGTCTTTTCATAAGCCTGAGCTAATATTGTCTCATACCTACTGATCAAACATTTTATGGTAAGATGGGAACACTAGTGCCACAATGCCATAAAACACCCCAGTACTTATCTCCAGGACTTGAAAGAGGTGTCCACTTTAATAGCAATGCGCACATTACCACCAAATATAAATGACATATGAGGCTACTTTACAATGTTATTCAAACAGAATATTTTTGCCATGATTCTGCAAATCTCCCATTTAGTAGTACAGTGTTGCTTTTAAACAGATCTTTGGTAAATCCAAACACAGCACAGAGCGCAGTCTCCATCATGACACAGCCAAGCACCAGTGAAGAAATGCTGGCTCCTGTCTTGGGGTTGGGGCTACTGCACACAGTGCCCCTTCTCAGCAGCTCATGGGCTCAGCCCATTCCTGTCACTGCAAGGGTTCATTGCTGAATGCCGCTCCATAGGTGAAATCCTCCGGCAGGGTCTCTGGGGGGATCGCCCCTAACTGCTCGTCGTATGACCTCAGCGTCCACAGCTTCTCCAGCTCGTAAAGCTCCCTCGTCTCGGGCAGCATGAAGTGAACCACGATGTGTCCTAGGCAAGGAAAGAGAAGAATGATAGACGAGAAACGAGCTCTAAACGCTGCAATTTCTCAGCCACTGCTGGGTGTTTCCTTGGGGAGTTTATAAATGTGTTTCAATTTAACTGGCTGTCCTGTGTGATGTTTCATAGATTAATTATGTAAGAAAAATAAAAAAAGATGTTTTTGTTTGATCACAACCGGAAAGTGGGATAATCCCTCTTATTGACTTATTGAGGGGTCCAGAGATGTGCTTCACTATTCTACTGCACCGACTGGGTCAGCAGAGGAGAACAGAAATGCCAGCACCTGTCCGAGCCTCAGAACTCTGAATACACACTCTGTTCTGCCCCAGATTTTAAATCAGACTGAAAGAACCAGCCACATTCTTAAGGGTTAACACAAGAACAGCAATATTAAGAGGAAAAAAAAAAAGTGTATTTACCAAAATCTATGCACATCCAGTCATCTGCATCCTTGCCTTCAATCTGAATGTGGGGGTCGTCATTACGCTTCACGTGTTTGTACTGCCAAAGAACAAGCGGCCCTGTTCATACGTCACAGAAAATAAAACAGTGCACCTACCAGGGCCTCGTGTCCAAGAGCTAATTGCCAACAGCACATCCTTATGCTTCACACATCTAACCTACTTCATCCCTCCCACCCACTGAAGCGCAGCCCCACACAGAGGATCGGGACAAGTCTGAAAAAAAGTGGCCAGCCAGGTGGATTAATTACTCAGCTGAAACATTTCTATTCAGGAACTGAATCTGAGCAGTCAGGACCTCACTTTCACCCCCTACAGGATACTGTCCCTGGTCCAGAGGAAGGAGCACCACTTTCTGCATGAACTGAATAGGATCTACAAGACTGGTGCTCAGGACTTACACACCAGGAGTAACACACCTGCGGCACCATTTTCAAACTACTGGGCAGTTCATCTTTGGCCCCCTCTTCTTAAAAAAAAAATGTAAACTGACTTTAAAATAAATCTTACCACTTTGATCGCATACAAAGCCATAGCTCGCAGGTGTCTTGTGGAGGATCCGCTTACTACGACAAAATAGTCGGTGTACTTCATCTCCTCCGGCACCCTGATCACACAGATGTCCCCGGCGTTCTCCTGCCGCAGCAGGGCCACCAGGAAGTCGATACTGAAATCGGGACAGAGACCTGTGGGAGAGGGAACCAGGACAGGTGATAGATACTTTACCGACCCCGTGAGGGAAAATTGCAGGACAACAGCAGCTTAGCACAGTCAACACAGCATCATGACCAGGAAACTTAGAAGAACGAGCAAACGTAAAGCTTGGAACGAGTAAAGGTTTATTCCCTGCTGAAGAGAACAATAAGGAACTCGACGTCTCGGCTGTGGAGCCTTCTTCAGGTGTCAGGTGAAACGTGAAAGAAAGAGTCCTTCTGCGCTACTGCTTTATTCCAGAAGGAGGATAATGTGAACGAAGCTAGAAACTTACCAGTCCGCTTCTTTACTTCAAAACCTGCTCTGTCCTCCACATGGCTGAGCTCCGTCCCGCCAGTGTGGCTGAGACGTCTCGGCAGATCCGCGCACGTCTTCAGGGGGAACCCACCTTCAGCACCGCGGTAAAACCCGCTCCACACCTGCTCGACAGCCGCTACCGCGTTCAGGCCTGTCTGCAGCCCCCGCCCAGCCTGCGTGTGAATGCTGGTTTGAGATAAGATAGGCAGCAGTCTTTTCGTCCAGGTGCTGAGAGCAACACGATTCATTGTTGTTTCGGACTGTTTTGTTTTCCTTCCTGCGAGTCCTCTACTATTAGCGTCACTTCCTGCCGTGGCTCCGCCCCCGGGATCTACGTAACCCGAGAGCCTTAAAGGGCCAGCGCACCCTTTATTCAACTTTAAACTTGACCCCGCCAAATAAGCCTATAAACTTTCGTTATCAATAAAAAAATCAATCGATTTCGAACACCTTCGCATTCTGCCTTGGACGTGCACTGAGCTGTAGCAATATGGCTGCTTTTTCATCATCGGGCATCTCTCGGACAAGATGTCTCATTCATCGCTGTGTTACAGCAGGAGTCATCTTCACGTAGGATCGCACGCCTGCTTGTGTCCCTTCCAGCCGAGCGTCGGGAGCTTTTGAGCAATTTTATTTCTATTTACAAGTTTGGTATTTCCGTTTACTGATGAAGTGAGATAATTAAAAGGCGACTCCCCCACCAACAAGTTTAAGAACTGAAAAAAATGCTTTTGTGTTTGTGCTAACTCTTCACTATGGCACCCATGCAGAGCTGGAAGGTTGCCGTATCTTGCGGCCGGCAGAGCAATCCTACTCCATTGGGCCCCTGAGCAAGGCCCTTCACCCCAGCTGCTCCAGGGGCGCTGTACAATGGCAGACCCTGCGCTCTGACCCCAAGCTTCTCTCCCTGTCTGTGTGTCTGTGTCTCATGGAGAACAAGCTGGGGTATGCGAAAAGACTTATTCCTAATACAAGAAATTGTATTTGGCTAATAAAGTGATCTTATCTTAGCTTTATGTCTTCACAGGTGTATGTCTGATATCTTCCAGCTTGAATGTGATCACACGAAGCTTTACATCCCAAAGAGTTTCTGCAGAATAACAGACCCACATGATCCACTACTGAAGTATGCACAGGGGCACTGACTTTAAGAATCTTGTCCAGAGGGTTCTCCTGGGACATCTCCTGTCCCAGTGCTACCAGAAGCTCCTGCGATCTGACTGTTGCTTTTTTTCCCAGTAAACCTACTATCTAAAAATGATGGCATTGTAAAAAAAACATCATATAGCTTTGTGGTGTAACCAAATATATCTCCCAGCTGGCATCCTTATTGGACTAGTCTAACTCCTTCTCAAACTTAATGTTTTCCTACAAAAAGCTTTTCTGATGTCAGGGAAGCAATGTCACCAAAATGGGACCCGGAGATTTAACATGTTTTATGATGTTTTGAATGGTGGAGTAGTGTGTCTCTTACTGACAGCAGAGTGAACCCTGATTGGTGGAGCAGTGTGTGTCTCACAGTCAGAGTGAGCACTGATTGGCTGAAGAGTGTGTCGCTCCTTGACAGCAGAGTGAACCCTGATTGGTGGAGCAGTGTGTCCCTCACTGACAGCGGAGTGAGTACTTGATTGGAGAAGCAGTGTGTCTCTCACATTCAGAGTGAGCACTGATTGGCTGAGGGATGTGTCGCTCGCTGACAGAAGAGTAAAGCCTAATAGGTGGAGCAGTGTGTCTCTCATGGACAGATTGAGCCCTGATTGGTGGAGCAGTATGTCTCTCATCAAACAGAAAGCTGAGGAGGCCCTGGCCAACTCAAGTCCTCCCAACCTTAAGAGCGCTAAACCAGCTGTTGGTGACTGAAGATCTTTCACCGAGTTTTATTTAGTAAGTTATGCAACAATCAAAGTCTATCAAGTGTATCACAGTCAGTCAAGATCGCCCAATTAACAAAAATAAAAACATTTAATTAGATCTGCAAAATCTGCATTTATTTTTCTGAGAACATATGTGCAAAGCATGATATGTTTATTTTCATGCCCTATATATATTTTATATATATTCCATTGGGATGCACTATATTGTAACGTACTTTATCTAACCATTTTATGTTTGCACCAGCAACCAAAACAAATAAAAGTAAGATGAAAAATACTGATGTGACAGATAACACTCATCATAGTATTTTCTTTCTATATAATGGTGCCAGCAGGCATCTGTAGGGCTGTAGCAGTGAGCAAATCAGGAGTTGAATGTTAATGTACGGAACACGAATAGCACAGAGACAAAAGCATCAGCAATCCAAGCACAGGAAGGTACAGTCTGACTGCAGAGAGGAGAACGGGGCACCACACACAAGGAGCAGGACGGGTCACAGTCAGACAGGCGAGATGTGGCACCCAGACACGGTGCTCACAAACAGCGATACTCATCACTAATGATCATTTTACAGTGATTATGTCAGTCTCAGTGTCCAGGGTTGTGCCCAGATCAGGCTCATGGCTCTGCCTGCACTGCAGACACCACAGAACACATTTACATCAAGGCTCCATGAAACTGCAGAGGCGTATAGATGTTTGGCTCTCTGTGTATTATATGCAGCGTGGACTCACAGTGATACCGAGTTCACGTGTCTTTGACAATAATATAAACAACAGATGCAGATGAAAAGCATAATTTACTGAGGGCCAACACAGTGTCTCCTCTGTTATCAACCCAAGTCAGTCTTTGTGCCAGTGTTTGTTCGGTGAACAGCTTTTAACACATAATTAGATGCACTTGTTTGATGATCAGTGCAATAGTAATATTGTCACCAGATCACTAGATCAGTCAAGAATGTCTGCTTGGTAGTGATTCATCTAGATTTCATGATCAAGTCTCACATGTTTTGCATCAGTAGATCTGATGCTTCCACCACAAATATGCTTTGAAATTTCCAAGGGCACTGCCTGTGGATTACATGTGCCTACTAGAATACAGTTTTATACAGCACCTTTAGAAATCAATTGTCTGAAAGAGCTTTAAATACATAAAAAGCACATTCTGCAATAAAATGAAAGTAACCCAAGAAAACAAAGCAGCTACAGAAGATGAAACAATCAACAAAAATCCTTTCCAATAAAAGCAGATTTCTAAGTTATATTTAAGAAGCGTCCACTGGGACAGAGATGCTGATTTCTTTTGAAGAGGTGAATAAAGGGTCCTGTTATCCCCAGACAGATCTTTTCAACAACTAAAAGTCTAAAAGTCTGAACAAATAGGCAAACTAAACCTGACAAGTCAACTGTGGTGAGAAAAATAATACTATGGGTGGACACAACTTTCAACAACAAGAAACTACACATGTAGTTCCAAATTGTAAAGACTTTTACAACTTAAATGGTTCAAATAAATGTCTCAGGAAGCCAGTGTGATACAATAGGCTGCAATCAGAAGAACAGACTCCAGGTTTCTCCAGCATTAGGGGTTTGGCTTGGCCTGTAACAGGGGGTTCCTTTCCTCGTTGCCTGGAAGCAAAGCGCTGTTCACCTGGCGAAAGGAGACCACGATTCCCTCTGCCCTGCTCTGGCCAGGCTTGCTCACAAGTTTATACTCCCTGGAATGCCTGGAAGGTGGGAGAAATGGGGATTTGAGTTACAACACTCTCCTTTGCATGACCCCATCACACATGTGCAGCAAATGAAAGGGGAGTGTGAACGGGGCAGTTACTCACCTGTAGAGTACAAAGGCCACAGCACTAAACAGAACCACAAGGACAGTACCAGCAATCAGCACCGTCTCCGCGGCTTGTGCAGAGCTGGACTCTGAAACTGGAGCAATACACAGTGATGTGCAGACTGTCAAAGAGAGACAGATCTAAAAAGCGTGGTACAGTAAATGAAAGGTTTCTGCAGAAGGGAAATGAAGTGCAATTCTTAATTTCAGTTTGAGTTTAACCTGTACAAATAGGGGGCATTATGGAGCAGCTCTGGGCCTCTTTACCTTGTGCTAGAAGATTATGTAGTGGGGATAACATCAGGGCGTTGAGCACGACCCTGGACAGAGACAGGCAGCAGCATTTGTAAAGGTTGAACCTGTAGTGAACTAACAAGCCATCTGGTGGGAGGGGGAGGGGTCTTGTACTCTCAGAGGTTTAAAAGCTACATAATCTGAGATAGAATCTAATCTTATGGGCTACTTGGGTTTAGTGGAGGGCTTTAATCCCCATTAAAAGAAGTCTTTTAATAAGCTGTCCAGGATACAACCTAAAGGCACAGCCTGACACACAGCCTGTGCACAGATCACAGGACAGCTGTCCCCACACCAGCGGCCCTGCCCTCGTGTGACTGGTGTACCGGGGGATCAGAAACAAACGGGCAGCCGAAACGCACCTTTCCCAACAGTCACGTGTGTGCTGGCCTGAGCGATGCTGGCGGGATGGGCGAGGGTGACGTTCACGCAGTAGGTCCCGGCCAGGCTGAAGGTGCGCTGGAGGGTCAGCTGGCAGCTCTCGGAGGGAGCTATGTCCTCACAGGCGACACCCTTCAACGTCCTACACGTCCCATCGGAGATCAGCGTGCAGGCGATTGTGGGAATACTGTCGAAGAAAGCTGAGCTCTTTAACCAGCAGATCAGGCATCCAGTCTGCGCTCCCTTGGAGTATTTAAACTTCTAAAGTTTTCATACAAGTTTTGAACAACTGGAATAATAGGAAGGCTGAGACTCAAGGCACAGCACACGAGTGGATTAAAACTAGTTTAGATGAGTAGATGCAAGTTTCAAATCTCTATAGAGGGAACAACTCGTAAAAGATACTGGCGAGACATTCATCCATTTTCAAACCATGTCATGGAGCCTATCCCAGCAAGCAACAGGCGCAAGGTGGGAAACACCCTGGATGGGACGCCAGTCCTTAACACACACACACACACACACACACACACACACCAGAAGGCAAATAACCTACCAGCATGTCTCTGGACTGGGAGGGGGGACTGCAGCACCCAGGGGAAACCCATGCAAACATGGGGAGAACATACAACCTCCACACAGACAGCACCACAGGTTTGGAACTGCGCTCAGAGCCCCAGCACTGAGAGCCACAACAATGCTCACCACTGCGCCACGGTGTCACCCCACTAGCAAGACAGTTAGTTACATTACAGAGCAAAGAGCAGAAGCAGCTCACAGATCAGGGGAGCACCAGGGCTGAAGACACGAAGAGCACAACTGTGTGAAATGGCCCTACATCTAGAGAGAGAGGATCTTGGACAAAACTGAGTGGATGAAAGGAACTGCAGGTTCAAATGGAGTTAGAGACGTCTTCTCACCTGCCTATACACTTCACCACAAAATCCACGGTGATGTTGGCCACCTGCGCAGGGGACAGCTGCTCAATCACGTGCGACTGGATGCTCTCAACTGCTGTAACACCATCTAAAAATGCAAAAACAAAAGAGTTTATAAAGCACGGCAGGGTTTCTAAAGCTGAGCCAGGACCTGTCCATAGGCCCATCACCCTGATACGTGTGCTAGAAATACTACGCCTGCAGCACTGAGGAGGACAGATGTCAGCAAGCAGAGTGAAATGCTCCTGTGTCCGGCTGCTGTCTGGGAGAGGATTTCGTGTGCGGGTCCCTGTAATGAACAGGGGGCGAGGCGAGAAAACCTGCAGGTCCAGCTACAGAAAGGGGTGATGTGAGAACTGCATGTGGGGGCTCCTCACCCACGATGACCAGTTCCACTTCGAAGCTCCCGTACACGTAGCGCAGGCACTGAGAGCCGTGCTGCAGGGCAGGCCCGGCGCTCCAGGGCACGGCGGGGGCCGCAGTCTGCGCAGAGGTGCTGTTGAAGGCGGGTGTCGCTGTCCCCTCGGTGGCGGCAGTGCTGGACGACTCTGCCGGGCTGGTAGGAGCTTCAGCAGTAGTTGTTGAAGCAACAGTCGTTGTAGTCGGGGTGACGGAGGTCACTACAAAAAAGACAGTGTCAGGTGTACCTCATAAATCCTCTTCCAAAAGAGGGCGATGTGGAGCACCCTGCATTTTGTCCTGCTCTGTTTCAGTGGAAATTTTTCCAGTGGTTTCTCCTCCCTTTTACAGAAGGACAAGCTTGTTTTAACATTTACTGTTAAGAAGTCAGCATCACAGACAGAGGAGTTCATTTGCCATATGTCCATGTACTGTACAATGTGATTCTTATTCGAGATGATCTCTCAGGACTTGCACAGATACAACAGACACAATGTAGACAGTGCATTGCAAAACAGTAAATAATAAATAGTGACAGTACGTACACGTGATAAACGAACAGCATCGTGGAAGCACAGGCAGGTTTAGGCAGGTTAATCATGCTGTGAAGTCACCGACAGATATCTTTTTTTATAGATCACAAGATCCATCCAATGAGCAAGTACTGGTTCTCTTACCAAAAGGTGTTGTCTCTGTGCTCGTCGTTGCTGGAGCCTCAGTAGTCAGTGCACTTGTTGTAGGGACCTCTGCTGTTTGAGACAAACAAACAAAAAGACTTCAGCAAGAATTGTGAATCGGTAGATTTCTTTCTTCCCCCCCCGGAAGTCAAAACGAGACAGGCTCAGCTGCAGAGGGAGCCGCGGCTCGCTCAGACGTTACCCGTAGTGGGGTCGGGGGTGGTGGACGTCAGCCCCAGGGGCGTGGGGGTGGGAGGGGGGCACGGCGTGGGGAAGGCTGCTTTCACGGTGAGCTTCACAGTGACGTTCCCCGCCGCGCTGTAGGCGTGAGTGGCAACAGGGCTGTGAGTGATGAGCCTGTTGCCATCGCTGAAGTCCCAGGTGTAGCTGACGGCGCTCTTCCTGAGGTAGTGGCTGGGGTCGTGCAGCTGCACCGTGAAGACGATGTCCGACCCCTTGACGAAGACGTTGTCAGAAGAGTTACGGTCAACCTTCTGGGAGATGTTCACAACGAGCGGAATCTTATCTGCAAAAGATGCAAAATTAGATGACTTATCTGGGAAAGGCCAAGGGAAAGGGCAAGGAGGAAAGTGTTTAGTCGAGGGTCCTGTTGAGACAGCGGGGCCACAGCCCAGGAGTGTCCGTCCTTGTCCTGAAAAGCCTGAGATCAAAGAGTTAAAGATCTCAGGATCAATTAGCCAATCAGGAGAAGCCAACGCTAAAACAAGACACTTCAGAACAGAAGTAGAGTTGCTATCTAATCCATTTTGCAGTTAGTGGCTAAACAATCTGAGGGTTTCATTCAGCCATTTCTGGAAAGACACCAGGGTATCAACTTTATTTGTTTCATCAATATAAAGTGTTTCACAAAAATCCCAGGAAATGTTTTGAGAGTCATTAACAACATGAGAAAAATATTATATTCAAAGAAATCAAAGCTAGTATAAACGGATTGTGACATTGCAGTCTACCCTTTCTCTGGTACACAAGAGACAAGCACAATCACACAGGTAGTAGGATTTGATTGAGATTTGGAGGGAAAAACCCACATTCGTTTTAAATATCTGGGAAAATTACTTTTTTGGCAATCCTGTTCGAATACAGTTTAGGGCATTTTGCCAAATGGCGCAACCTTCTCTATACTTCTTTTGCAAAAACAGATCTTCCAGTAACATGTCCGGGTGTTACTTTGTCCAAATGCAGTTTGCTGCCAATGTCTTTTTTTTTTTGCTTGGGCTGGGTTAAAAAACTGAACTTTTTTCCATAAATTAGTAAAACGAAACAGAAACTTTGTGGAAGTGCATTTAAAAGTGAGAACTGGAGGTGATTCTTGACCCAAAGAGCTGTTGTAGAAGCAGATACTTTGTGTTTGTTTGAGAATTTGCTGAATGAGACCCTGGATCAATGAGCTAACTACCAGAGAGACCGGTGAGGTCAGACATGAGGTGGCACATCAATCTTTCTTATGTCCTTAGCAGGACTCTCGCAGGGTGGCTTGCAGGTGACTGAGTTCAGGTCACTGATGTCCTGGAAGAGATCGTCACTTAACACGGCCAGCTGGTTGTGCATCTGTCCCCAGTGTCCTGAGCTCTGCTGAACAGGCTCAGCAGAGCTGCAGCAATGAGCCGGCTTGCCCTATCTCGGTGGGATCTCGTGCACACAGGGACTGGGGGCAGGAGGCTGCAGGCCAGAGAGCGAGAGGGAGCTGGGCGTGCACACAGCACAGGGGTAGCATCGCCCCATCTGCGTCCAGCTGTTTCTCAGCCTCACTGCACACGGATCTGGGCAATGCCAGCCTGGGCACAGCGAGGCCCCCTCCACTCAGCGGAAGGGAAGAGGTTTAGACAGCGCAGTGTGATCCAGAGACATGGAGTCTGCACACCTCCCAGAGGGGAGCTGGGTGTGGCGATCTCTGCTGGGACAAATGACACAGGAGGGGAGGACTGGCAACTGCACGAGAAATGTAATGACTGAGCTTGAGAACTCGAGAGCGGAAACATCCACAGTACAATGTCCAAGCCTAAGAAAATAGGGAGGACACCGAGATTTAACACATGGAAAAGTGGAAGTTCATTTCGATTAGGAGAAGTTCAGAGAAGAGCTGCTGTAAGTCTCTTCAGTCTAGAACAAAGGAGTTGGAGAAGAGATGTGACTCAAGTACTAAGGGGGTACACACAGGGTCATCCCAGGGGACTGCTCATTCAACCGTGGACGAAGGATATGCTAACAACTGGAAACTAAAAAGAAAATTAGTTCAGGATGGAGAACAGGACGCACTTCTTAATGCAAAGAGTTGAGGGCACCTAGACCAGGCTTCCCAGCCAGGGGAATGAGTCCCGAACTCTGGGCTCCTTCGGGAGAAAGCTGGGTCAAAATTTTAATTTCACTTACCTGCAGTACTACCAGAGAGACAAGATGGGCTGAAATGCCACCTCACTCGTATGCAACCTCTCTCCCGTTCTTATACAGGACAAAGTCCAATAAATGCCCACACTGATCCCCAGGGCCAACGTACCGGTAACAAAATAGATGCCGTCTGCTGTGGCGGCTGGACTGTACTTCCTGCGCTCTCTCTTGTGGTACACCAGCACCTCCATCATGCCTGCACCGAGGGTGACGTTGGTGGTGTTCAGAGTGATGCTGGACACTGAGCCCCCACAGGTCTGATAGTACTGACCTGCGAAGACCAACAGCAGGCAGAGGAGGCTCCTGTGAGGCAGGTACCACCACCATGCAAACACGGCTTGTGGACAGTTAGTAAGAGCTTAGCATGCCTGATTAGTGACTGATCAGAGGTTCGCAATAGTTAATTATTACTGATGAAATAACATCGTAATATACAAAGGCATCCTTTTACACAGTCCAGCGTTTGTTAAGCGCTGGGATGTCATTCGTACAGAACATCTCACATACGGGTATCTCCTACTCTAAAGTTTTACAAATTAGTTGTTGTATTTTTAAATAATCAATGAGGGCTGTTCCAAGGGAAACTCTTCCCAGTGACGATCCTGTATGGTATAGTCCACGGATGTTGTTTTAAAACAGACTGTCTCCACAATAGATTCTGAAATGATTCTGAAGGCCTCGTCAATACACTTGTACATACAGCAGAAGATAAGACTGTTTACTAATTGCTTACTTTCAGAAGCTGTAATTGTAATTGTACACTGAAGTTAGAGCAGCACAGTTATGGCAGATATTGTTTTTGGTTACTTCCTTGACACAAGATCATTGCAATGCCTTGTGGTTAAAAGGACAGAATCTACAGCATGGAAATTCAGAGATAACCTCTAATGCACCAGCTGCTGAGGTCTATCCTGCTATTCACAGGGACAACACGGAGAAGAACATCCGGCCGGAGTTCTCAGCCGGACCCAGCTAGAACCTGCCTCACAGATCCTCACCCATGGTGTGCCACACGTAAACGAAACTCCTCCTCCTCCAGTCGTAGCGCTGGGGGAACGGCTTCCCGTCGGGAAACAGGTTACACCTGGACAGGTCTGTGCAGTTCCCGAAGCCGTAGTCGTCGATCCAGGAGGTCCAGTTGTACACGTAGCCACCGGCACGAACCAGGCCGTTCGCTGGGAGCACACATGCACACCAGACAAGGAGAGCGTGAGCTGATTCCACCAGAGACAGAGAGACTTATCCCCGCGGGGGCAGTTTGTTTTACAGCAGCAGTGCTGGTGTACAGATGGACAGGAAAAAACACAACAAAAATATAGACATATTTGCATAGAAAATCAAGTGTCAAGTAAGGATATGGCTACAGGTATGAACGGGAACTAAGACCTATTGGTTTTGGAGTTGGGGAGTCAGTGTCTGCGTTCTGATGGGAGTAACTGGAAACCATTAAACAAGGGGGGGGGTGAAGGATCATCGCAGACGGATGTTGCTTTAAGCAGAACACGTGCACGATAGATGCATGAGAGACGGGCTGGAAGATCAGCACCAACAACCTTCTGACATCTTTCCACAAGGCTCCCCGGTCTGTTATTGCAACCCAGAGTCAGGCTGCCAAACCAGCAGATCAGGGTAAAAGTCAGGACAGGTTCCAGGAAGGACCGGTAGAACAAAGTCAACACCGAATCAGGTGCAGACGCCCCAGTGCCCCAGCACTGCAGGCCAGGTCAGCCGCAGTCCCAGCCACTGCGTCCTTACCGTCTCTGCAGCGCCTGTCGAACACCAGGTCCCCGTTAGCATCCTCCTTCTGGCACTTCGGGAACTGGAGGGTGGTTGTGAATGTGATGCCGGACCCTGCTAGTGCTGGGCTGTCGCTGGTTAAATGGGCAACGATGGACCTCCCTGCGGAGCAGAAGGAACAGTCAGGGCCGC